GTGGTCATAGATCTTGATGAAGACAGAACTCCTAGAGATCACAAGGGCTCGAGTGACTGTTGTGAGAGCCTCCCGGTTCAGGTAGGGCCGCAACTGGCGCACCAGGCGAACCTGGGTAAATGCCCCCCTGGTCACAGCCGACAAATTTCAATATTTCAATATCAGCATTATCCTCAATATTCTCAAGATCCAAGTTAAGTGTGTTCAGTCTGAAGTCCTTGTCTAACCATCATTTTGTCATTGTTATTCTGTGTCTGGCAACAGCTTTTCAGCAATACTTGGTGTACCAGGAGCAAAGCTACATCCCTGATCAATTTCTGTTTCTGATGATTTGGAAAAGACGTTACTACCCTTGTGAGTACGCATCGAACACACTGGAGTTGAAAGGACATTTCTCTTAGAGATTTTTGGACTTCCAGTCCCAGCCCTGGGTGATTCTAGCAGAATAAAGAGTTGGAAGAGACCTTGGAGGTCTTCTAGTCCAACCCCCTGCTTAAGCAGGAGACCCCATACTATTTCAGACAAATAATTGTCCTTTTTTTTTCTTGAAAACAGAACTGAGCTTCCGATTTCCAGCATGCACATGTGTAACGGTCACCTGGTCTTCCAGCTTCAGGTGCATATGTGTGCACAGACATCAGCTGGCTGGTGTGCATGCATGTGCCGGAAACCAGAAGTTCAGCTGCCTGGTATGTGCATGCATGCCAGGGAGCTGCTCTTCCGGTTTCCAGCATTCCTGTGCATGCGAAGACCAGCTGGCCGGTGCACATGTGCGCGCCAGAATCCAGAAGAGCAACGGGCAATGGTTGGTGTGCCCGGAGAGATGGCTGTGTGTGCCACTTCCAGCACAGGTGCCATAGGTTTACCATCATGACCCTATACCATTCTGGACAAATGGTAGTCCAGTCTCTTTGTGAAACCTTCTAGTGATAGATCACCCACAACTTCTGGAGGTAAGGCCTTCCACTGATTGTTCTCACTGACAAAAAAATTCTCCTTAATTCTAGGTTGAATCTCTTTGATAAGCTTCCATTTGTTACTTCTTATCTAGTCCTTAGATGCTTGGGAAAATCGGTTGACCCTCTTTTCTCTGTGATAAGTCCTTCAAATATTGGAAGACTGCTTTCTAGTCCTTCATTAGACTAATGATATATATTCTCTCAGCCGTTCATCATATGGTTAGTCTCCAGTTCCCTAATCATCTTTGTAGCTCTTTTCAGCATTTTTTCTAGAGTCTCAACATTTTTTTATATTGTGTCCAAAACTGGATGCACTATTTCAAGTGCAACTGCATTTCAATCCAAACTCATTTTTAAAATCTGGCTGGTTGAATTTGTAATAAGTATAGCAAAGGTAAAGATAAAGGTTCCTTTCTCGAATATGTGCTAGTTGTTCCCGACTCTGGTGCTCCGTTTCTCCGAAGAGCCAGCGCTGTCTGAAGATGTCTCCATGGTCATGTGACCAGCATGACTGAATGCCAAAGGGACACGGAACGCTGTTACCTTCCCACCAAAGGTGGTCCCTATTTTTCTACTCGCATTTTTACATGCTTTCGAACTGCTAGGTTGGCAGAAGCTGGGACAAGTAATGGGAGCTCACTTCTTTATGCGGCACTAGGGATTCAAACCGCTTAACTGCTGGCCTTTCAGATTGACAAGGTCAGCGTCTTAGCCACTGAGCCGCTGTGTGTGTGTGTGTGTGTGTGTGTGTGTGTGTGTGTGTGTGTGTTTATAAATATAAAAAAGGAAGGGAGAGANTAGAACTCACTGTCTCCTGGTGATTGGCCCAAAGTCACCCAGCAGGCTTTCATGGCTAAGGCAGCACTAGAACTCACTGTCTCCTGGTGATTGGCCCAAAGTCACCCAGCAGGCTTTCATGGCTAAGGCAGCACTAGAACTCACTGTCTCCTGATGATTGGCCTAAAGTTACCCATCTGGCTTTCATGGCTAAAGCAGCACTAGAACTCACCGTCTCCTGGTGGTTGGTCCAAAGTCACCAGGCTGGCTTTCATGGCTAAGGCAGCACTAGGATTCACAGTCCCCTATTTTCTAGTCTAGTACCTTGACCACTAGATCAAACTGGCTCTCTGTTTGCTTGCCAGAACATCTGCCCACCTGGTGCCTAACATGCCCTTTTTGAAAACTCCCAGTATAATTGTGCCAGATTTAGTGTGAAAATGTTTATGGGGTACAAACCCTTTGCAAAACACACTTCAGGGAGACCTTGACCATTTAACCACCATTCAAAGTTATAAAAGCACTAACAAAATGACTTATGACAGGATCAAGGATAGTACTAATTGTCATAACTGCCTTGGGTGCAATCCCAAAACATCTGGAGCACCCCTTGCACAACCATCGGCATTGACAAAATCCCCATCTGTCAATTTCAAAAGGCAGTTTCATTTGGAGCAGCTTACATCCTGCGATTCCTTTAACACCATCAAACATTCACATCTGCCAGCCCCAGGTCTTTGGGAAGAACTTGATAGGTGGATAAAAATGCTACCTATTCCCCCCCCCCAAAAAAGTCTAAACATTCTGGCTGACTGTGCAACCAAACAGAATAATAATAAAGGTGGAACACCCCTGGAGCAGCAGAATTGATAAAATCCCCACAGTCAGTTACGAAAGAACAGCTTACATCCTGCGACGAGACCTTGGAAACCATGAAACAACACCTGTACAATCCAGTGCTTAGAAAAGAACTTGATAGGCCGATAAAAATGCCAATCCAGTCTGAACATCGGATGACTGTGCAACCAACAATAACAATAACAACAACAATAATAATAATAGAATAGGAGAATGGAATGGAATAGAATAACTTTATTGTCATTGAATGTACACTAATTGGCATACATTAAAAATGAAATTTCGTTGCATACAGCTCTTAAAGGGGTCACCCCCTCCAATTTTACACTACATATTAACTACATAGAATGGAATGGAATAGAATAGAATATAATTCTTTATTGGCCAAGTGTGATTGGACACACAAGGAATTTGTCTTTGGGGCATATGCTCTCAGTGTAGATAAAGGGAATAAAATACATTCATCAAGAATAAAAGGATACAACCTTAAATATATATTTAATATATAATATATTAAACCTGTATGCAGCCCAATTCTCAATGACACTCCATGATTAATGGATGGCTACTTTTGTTTTATGTTAGGATTAAACTGCTAAGCAATCACATGATATCTGCACTCTCGCAAACACAATAAGTCTCACACAATTTAACCCAGGTTTTCAACAAACCACCTTGTATCAGGGCCATTTGTGTACTGCAATAAGCATTAACTGGGTTATGTAGATCCAGTTCAGACAAAAATAAAGAAAGCATAACCACAGGCGATAAATTTTTTTTATAGCTTTGCTATTAATAAAGCACAAATTCCTCAGGCGGCAATTAGAAATACAGCCATGGCAAAAGTTGTTTTAGGATCTTTACCTACCCAAATAATCTAAATTGAATTCTTATGTTAGTTAGTTACAAATGTTAAGTTATTTGTTAGGAATTGTTTTGATTATTATTATTATTATTATTTTGATAAAAATGTCAACAGGCAAAAGAAGAGCCTATGATCAATTTTACCAGCGTCAAAAATCTTCCAGCATTGGAGAGTTGGCAACAGACATCAAACTGCCCTAACAATAAAGTCCTAAAAAATTTATTGCTGGAGAATTGGTCCCGCCATAACTCTGGTTTAAAATAAAATGTGCGATTACGAAGGTTTTTGCCAATTTCCTCTCCATTAGAATTCAAGAACCAGGTGAGAATTAAAAACTGTTAAAAGGAGAGAGAGAAAAATAAGATGCCAATCACTCCATAGAAATACATTTGTACATTTTCTTTTTTTCCCCTTTTTCTTCTTCTCTAATGTCCTTTTCTCTCACTTCATCTTTAAATTTTACAGATTGTTAAAATCCTAATAAATATCACAAGTGACGAAATTTTTTTGGGAATGCACTGAAATGGACAGGCTGGCAAAAAAAGCTAAAAGACAAAGAGGAATCAGAGTACTGCATGGGACTATGGTATAACTGGCTAAAGGAAAGAGGAAAAAAAACAGAATAGTGACAAAGAGATCAAGATCAAGAAACTACGAAACAAATACAAAACCGGAGAATCAATAAGAGGGGGAAATACAAGATAGGTTGTAGATGAAAAATAAGAAATATGAGAGGATCAAATGTATATACGCCTGTACGAAAGAAGAGGTGTAAAATATGCATATAGATATGGATATAGTTATATCGGATATATGTATGTATTGATAAAGGAAACACAAGCAATGCAAAGACGATATGACTGTATAAATGAAATAAAAAACTTTATAAACAAATAAAATAAAATCCTAATAAATAGGTTTTATTGATTTATTTATAAGCCAAAGATCAAATCTGAACGACAGCCAGAGAAAGATTTAAATTCTGCAAGAATAGCTCTCTCTCTCTCNTAGAGGCAGATATTTCTCTCTCTGGGCACAATGAGAATATATCTGCTGAACAAAACTCCGCCCTGGCAACAGGAAGGGCATTGGGGCAGTAAACACCCAGCTCCATTCAGTTGCCCAGGCTGGGATTATGGGGTCGTTAAAAGATGATGATGATGAGATATACCTCAAAGCATATGTTTTCTCCTTCCTTGTCGCAATCCAGCCACAGAACAACGTAATCGCAACCTCTCCCTTCCACCTGAAAGATCAAAGAAAAGATACATTTTTCATTCACTGTTCAATGGCCCATCCGGCTCGGTATGTGCCAAACTCTTGAGATCCCATTTTCGAGAATGTCTACCAATTTATACGGCTGAGTGGCGTGGACCCTAAATCAGTGGCCTCCGTCTGTTTGGGCGCTTCCACGGAGAAAGGTTTTTCCGCAGACTGGTGCTGCCAGCATCCCACGCAGAGGTGGCTTTCTACCAGTTCGGCCCAGTTCATACAAACCGGTAGTGGAAATTGCGGGTGGCCCCACCCACTTTCCCAGGCTCTACGGCATCCCTCTTAGGCCCTTTTTTTTCACCAAAAACACATGCGCGGAAGGCTGTGTGCATACGCAAAGTTGGCGCATGAAAGCCAACAAGAGAGCGCATGCGCGCGCCCACATCTGTGAACTGGTACAGAAGGTAAGTGAATACCACCTCTGATCCCACAAATGGGGCTTTGCTTGTTGGCGCAGACCAGTTTAAAAAGATTAACCTAACACTCACCATCAAATCAATAAATATTTAAATTTGTAAGCAAATTCCGAAGTGTTCATTACCTGTAGGAATTTGACCATGTTTAGCTTTGGGTTGGCTTCTTTCTTTTCGGTTGGCGCTTTACTAAAAAGTTCTGCGGGGTCAACTTTATCCCAGTTGTTGTATTTTCCTAAAAAGGACGGATATTATCATCATCTTGGTAAAGTATTAGAATATTTATTTGGGGGGCTGCCACCAAGAGGAGGGAGTCAAGCGATTCCCCAAAGCACCTGAGGGCAGGACAAGAAGCAACAGATGGAAGCTAAACAAGGAGAGAAGCAGCCTAGAACTAAGGAGAAATTTCCTGACAGTATAGAACAATTAATCAGTGGAACACCAGAAGTTGTAAAAGCTGCATTGCTGGAAGTTTTTTAAAAGAGATTGGGCAGTCATTTGTCTGAAATGGTACAGGGTCTCCTGCCTGAGCAGGGGGTTGGACTAGAAGACCTCCAAGGTCCCTTCCAACTCTGTTATTCTCTTCTCTTTTCTCTTCTCTTTTCTATTCTCTTCTATTTTCTATTCTCTTCTATTTTCTATTCTCTTCTATTTTCTATTCTC